CTCTCTCTCTCTCTCTCTCTCTCTCTCTTTGATAGATACCGAGAAGTCAGGCAGAGGGAGGGTGAGGAAGAGATGGCGGACTTAGAGGAGGAAGAAGAAGAAGAAAATCTCTCTCTCTCTCGTAGTCCGGTACTAACCTGGAAAGGTGGCGCCTGGCTGCAGGTATGTCGAAGACGAAGCTGGAGCTATGGCGCCGCAGGTGAGTCTCCCTGGCCTCCGCCAACCATCTCTCTCTCTTTCTCTCTCTCTTTCTCTCTCTCTCTCTAAGCTCCTACTAGCGCCCAGCGCTGAAGACTACTACTATCGCTACTCCTCCAGCGTGCCACTGCCAGATCTTGAAGACTGCCTCCTGCCTTCTGCACGTGAAGTGCCTGTCAACTACCTGCAGCCTACAGGGCGGGTCAGCATTATATAGTGCTGGCCCGTCTGCGAGGCTGCTCGTGCCTATGCCAAAACGTGCCAGACCCTGGGGTTGACGCTCCACAAAATAGGCCTTAAAGGCCTGAGCTAAAACCCCGGTCTGGTGCCTGAGCTTCAGGGTAGGTCGATCTTGCGAGGGCCTGAAAATGGCCCGTCGTTTTCTGGCTGGAGGCCGAAACGACACAGGGCCTGAAACAGGCCCTACCCCTACAGACCCTTAGTCTACCAGGTCAGGCTCTGCTGGGCCCGTGTGGTAAGGAGTATGCCACACTCCCCCCTCCTTGAAAGACCGAGCTTACCTGCGAGGGCGAAGCTGTCTGGTGGAGGGAGGGACTGAAGTCCGGTGGGAGGTTGTGGAGCTTCCGTCGCTAGCCGTTTCTTCTCATAATGAGCGTAGATGTCAGGAGCGGAGGCTCGCAAAGCTGCCCGGGAAATCCATCGCGTGTCATCGTGGTCGCACCACTTGAATGTGACTTTGTACTGTATAGGCTTGTTGCCGTGCTTGCGATGCATGATGACGCGGTCGACTTCCTAATGACCATCCATGGAAGGAGGGTCTTGTGGTCATCGTCCCGGGAAGTCGTCGCTCTTGGCTGGTGTATATGTGGCCAGCTTGGAGGCGTGGAAAACCGGGTGCACCGTGAGGTGCGGCGGGATTTCGATCACAAATGAAGGGCCATTGGGCTCATCACCCGCGGCTGATGTGACAGGCCATGGTCCAAACCACTTTGGAAGTAGCTTGCGGGATACATCCTGCTCGAGGGCAAACTCTTCCGTGGAGACCCAAACAAGGTCGCCGGCGCGGATGGGGCATGGCACGCGACGCCTGTTAGCTTGTTGTTGCATGCAGATTTGAGCCTTTTGCATGTTGGCTCGGGCTTTAGCCAGCAAGTCCCTATACTTCCGAACGGAGGCGGGCGAACAAGCGGCGTCAATGTCGGCAGTCCTTGGAAAAGGAAGATCAGCGAAGATACGGCCTTTTCGGACACCGTGGTGTGACTCGAACGGAGTCACGCCGATCGCCGGGTGCACCGAAGTGTTGTAGGCGAATTCGATGTCGGGGAGGTGGTCCACCCAATCCTTCTCATCTGTACGGATGAGTGTGCGAAGCATTACTTGAGCGGTTTGATGTGCCCGCTCCGTCTGCCTGTCCGTTTGCGGATGCCGAGCCGAACTTGGTTTCATCTCGGTGCCGGACTCTTTCATGAGAGAGGTCCAAAATGCCGACATGAAACGAGTGTCGCAGTCGCTGACGATGTCTTCCGGAACGCCGTGGCCGCAAATCCAGCCGGTGTGTAAGAGGTGTGCAAGTTCCGGAGTCGTGGCGTGGTACTTGCAAGGAAGAAAACGTGCGTACTTGCTCAAATGGTCAACGACCGTGAGAATGTCGTCGTGCCCAAAGCGGTCCTGGGGGAACGGCCCAGTGATGTCCATGGCAATGGAGAGGCCGGGTTCCCATGGAATAGGCAGCGGGCGTAACTCACCGTAGGGGTTGCGATTGCGGGGTTTGCTTCGTCGGCGAACTTCGCAAGAATCGCAATACCGAGTGACGTCGGTAATGAGGTCGGGCCATCGGAATCGCTGCCGAAGTCTTGCGATCGTACGGTCGACTCCGAGGTGGCTGGCGAGTCTCGAGTCATGGTACTCGCCGAGGAGACGAGTCCGTAAGCGACGGTCGTGTGGGACACATAGTAAGTCCTTGCCTCGTGAGTGAAGCAGCAGGTAGCCATCGACGATGCGATAATGGCTGGCCAGCGGGTGATCCGAGGATAGTTACTCGTAGAGCGTGCCGTATTCCGGATCGGACTTGTATGCTCGCACAAAATGCTGATGTAGGGCTTCGTCGAAACTGAACGCGTGGTGAGTCACTGCGCAAAATCTGATCTTCGCGAGAGAGCATCCGCGACTCGGTTGGAGAGGCCCAGAATGTGTTTCGGTGTGAAGTCGAACTGATCGATGAAGTACATCCACCGACCAATCGTGCTGCTCACCGTGTCCTGCGTCTTGTAGTAGGTCAATGGGTTATTATCGGTCACCCAAGTGAACCTACGACACCCGAGGAGGAAGTGTCGCCAACGCTTGAGTACCGTGACGAACGCGAGCAACTCCTTCCGTGCATCATCAACCGAGTTGATGGGAGGCACCTTTTGGCTGAAGTACTCAACCGGATGCCAATCTACTCCGTCGTGTTGTTCCAAAACTGCACCCATGCTGTAGCCGGAAGCGTCCGTAATCACTCTCGTAGGCAAGGTGGGATCGTAGATACTCAAGACGGGGCCGAGGAGCAGCGCCGTCTTCAATTTGTGGAACGAACTGCGGACTTCATCGGTGAAGTGGAAGGGCACCTGTGGAGACTGCAATCTAGACAAAGGTGCGGCGATCTGTGCGTATCCTCCGATGAAGCGTTGGTAGTACCCGGCCAATCCCATGAAAGAGCGAACCTCCGTGGTGTTGGTCGGTTCCGGCCAATCCTGAATGGCCTTGATCTTGTCCGCAAGCGGACGGATGCCTTGCGGCGTCACAAAGTGGCCCAAGCTCTTGTTGTGCGAATTCGCACTTGGCTTGGTTGGCCTTGTACTTGGTCGTACGAAGCCTGTCCAAAACAGCACGTAGATGCACGATGTGCTCGTCCAAAGTTCGGCTATACACCAAGATGTTATCGAGGTGGATGAGCACGAACCGGTCCAACATGTTGCGAAACTCCATTATCATTGCCGCTTGGAAGGTGGCCGGGGCATTCGTGAGGCCGAATGGCATTACGACCCACTCGAAGTGCCCGTACCGTGTCTTGAACGCGGTTTTGTACCTATCTCTTGGATGGATCTCGAGCTGGTGGTAACCGGATTTGAGGTCCAACTTGGAGAAATACTTGGCGCCGCCCAAGCGTTCGAGAAGATCGTCGATGCGTGGGAGCGGGCCGACATTCTTAATGGTTTGAGCATTAAGCTTGCGATAGTCAATGCATAAACGTAGCTCCTTGTTCTTCTTCCGAACGAAGAGAACAGGTGCACCGTAGGGCGAGCAGCTAGGGCGAATCCAGCCCTTGTCAATGAGGTCATCGAGTTGCGTTCGAAGCATTTCGAGTTCCTCCTCGCTCATGCGGTAAATACATCCGCGCGGAGGTACTGCCCCGTCTTCGAGGATGATCTCGTGACGTATTAGCCGACTCGGTACGATTCCGGCGGGGGCTTCAAAGACGTCGCCATAGGAGTCAAGAAGTTGTACAATGCGTGGATCCGGTGGCTGTTCCGTCGCTGGCTCGTCGGGAGGAGGGAGGGCATGCAAGAAACAAATGCCCATTTCCTCCACGTCGTTCCGTGCGATGGAGTTGCGAATGCTCGCCGCAGAGACCACGTGACAACCAATCGAAGGATGAGGTGGGGGGAACGTACATGGCACAAGTACCCCGTTCCGGTCACGAACGTGAACGGTGCGGTGGTAGAAGTTCACCGGGTGGTCCTCGCTGCGCAGCCATGACATGCCCAATATCATGTCGAACTTTGTGTCCAATATGTCAAAGGACACGGCCTCGCGTGCAAGCGGGGCGAAGTACATGGGGACGGAGTCAATGCACCGGTCGATGGACTTGTGCGTACGACCGTCAGCCAACGTGACTTGCGTAGGCTGCGATTTCCTTCGAACGCGCGACCCAAGGCCGGCGCGGGTCATGAAATCCTGGCTGATGTAGTTGCGAGTAGCTCCACAATCAATCAAGGTGCTGGCAGGTCACCTTCCCGATTTGAATGCGGACGTAGAGTAACAGTGCATCGGTGTCGTCGTACCGTTGCGTGGCGTACTCGCGGTCAATCTTCGCAATGTACTCGCTAAGGTCAACGACCGCTACTTCGTCTTCCATCAACAGAGCTGGTACTGCAGTGTGCAAGTAGTTGCGTAGCTCCACCATTAAGGCGTTGCAATGCGGCTTCGGCAAGGAACCAGATGGGGGAAGAGGCAACCATTGGAAGTCCTCCGGTGTCAATGGGTCGAGTTCCTCAAGTCTTAGACCACACCGACGAGTCCCCGAGTGATGTTGGCGAGGATGCTGGTTCACTTGGCGATGGTGATGAAGTCGCACACGCAAATGAGGCTTGCACGTGGAGAGGCTGGTCCAATGGCGGGACCAGCTGGAAAACATAGTCTTCATACTCTTCGCGAAGACTGGCGACATACGCATGTTCCCCGGACGTGGAGGAGGTTGTTTGCAAGGCAACCGTGTCCGGCGGAGTGGGAAGTGGAGTCGCCTCACTTCCCGCGGAGCTCAGTTTCCCGAGCTTTGTCGTGGACGGACGTCTTCTTTGCCTTTGTCGGGGCATTGTGACGTCGTGTGCTTGGTGCTGTTGCACCAGTAGCAACAGTTCCACCTCTGGCGGAGTTTGTATTGCTCCTCCGTGAGGCTGAACTTCTTCCATGGCTCGTTCAGCTGTCCGGCTTCCGTTGTTGACGCAGATTTCACCTTCTTGTTGTTGTTGTTGTTGTTGCGTCGTGGGGGAAGGGCGTTGACTCCGTCTCCTTCACTAGACTCGTGAGTCATCGCCTGGTCGTTCTTTTGTCCATTTCCTTGGACAGCAGCGACTTGCTGCGGCCGCGGGCCTTTGCCCTTTTCCACAAAATTCGGTTGGCTTCGCCGCTCGTTGGCTGCACACCGATTGGTTTGGATGACTTCGCGCGCCTTCTCCACGATCTGGTCAAAGTCCGTGTACAAGCTGCGCTCCCCAAGGGGCGTGCTCAACGCGTCAACCGACCGCTGGAAGAATTCACGACGAAGATGAACGAACGGTATGTCCAAATTCGGAATCGTCACGATTTTCTGCCACTCGGTTAGCCATTCGCGTGTTGGCTGGCTGCCTTGATGCATGCTGAAGATCCGGTTCACGCCTTTGCCTTGAGCGTCGTCGACGATGAAGCGTTTCCGCCACTTCTCGGTCATGGCCTCCCAAGTGATGTTGGTATAAAGCTTCGAGATTAAACGCCTTCGGTTTGAGCTAGGTGGTTGAGCCACACCTGGCTGGCACCGGTGCTGCAGAGGTAAAGTGGTGAGATCTTCGACTCGGGCGGGACCAGGTGGATGGAGAGCTCATTGGTGAACCCTTGCCACCAACTGATGGGGTCCGCCTTGTGGTAGTCATCAAACCTCTCGATGCTGAACTTCAGCATCTTGAATTGTTGCGGCGTCACGTTGTTGCAGGTCCCAGTTGGTTGCTGCTGCAGTTGACACAGATCCGCTTGTAGAGCGGATATTTGCTGGCTGATGGTCGTCGGTTGTTGGAAACTGTTCAAATTTCCGACAAGCGCGCCCAGATGATCCATTCGTTCTTCCTGCTCGCGGATCGGTGGATCAATGCTTGATGATGCCGTGTGCCTGTGCGGCATGTCATCCTTCTCCAGCATGTCAAGGCGGGCATGGAGGCTCTTGAGAGTCTCCTCATACTTCGTAATGGTACGCGCCTGCCGAGCCAGCTCCACTTGTTGCCAATTACAAGTGAGGATGACTTGGTACATCATGTTGGCGAGGGCTGACTTGGTCTGTTCCTCCGTAGTTGGTTCCATCGCTGCCGCCGGATCAACATTCCAAGCTTGGAGTGCGGCGATATGAGCGGCTTCCTGCTGCACGAGGACAAATGCGGCATCTCGTCGAGCTTTGTTATGATTGGCAGCTGCGTCTGCTTGCTGCCGGCGCCGTTGCTCTTCTGCGTGTGCAATGGCATTGAGACGTGCCTCTTCGGCTGCTGCCTCACGTTGCTGTTCCTCTTGGACTTGTTGCATGTAAGTGCCCAGGCGGGCCAGGAAGGCCGTCATGGTCTCTCCTTGCTGCCGGACTGGTGCAGCGCCGAGGGTTTCCGCAGAAGTTGCCGTGGAACCCTCCTGCTGGGCCTGTGGGGCCGGGGAGTACGAGCTGCATGCCTCGCGTGGACTGCCGGATGCGGCATTGTCCACCGTGGGGTTGTCCATCTCAGACGGGTGGGGCAGAGGTAGCTGCTGTTCTGCTGCGGATGCCCGCCCGTCACGTGCGGCGATGCGGTTGCTGCGTCGGAGCATAAGTTGCAGTTAGCTGTACGGTGTTGATGACGCGGTACTGCTGACGTGGCCCTGCTGCTGATGTGGCACTGCTGACATAGTCTGCTGGGATGGTACTGCTGACGTGGCACTGCAGTGACGTGGCACTTACCAAGCCGAGAAAACAGCAAAGGGGGTGGGTGGGAGGAAAACACAGGCAACCCACCAAACTGCAATGTCCATG